CCTGCCTCAGCCTCCCAAGCGCTGGGATTACAGGTATGCACCACCATGCCCAGCAAAGAAAGATGATTTTTTTTTTTGTACCGCGAATGAACTCAGGACCTTGTGCTTGTCAGACGGGCACTTCTGTTGTTAAACTGTATCCTCGGCCTTTTTCAGACTGGTCTTGAACTCATTATGTAGTCCAGGTTAGCCTCAGACTCGTAGCGATCATCCTGCCTCAGCCTCCGCAGTGCTGAGATTATAGGTGTGTATCACCCTGCCTGGCCAAAACAATTTTCTTCAAAGTGTTTATCCTTGCCATTACTAAATTGGATTAAACTGTTTATTTACCTCTTTGCTTCTGAAAAAGAGAAAAAAATCTTGAGGCCAAAGTTTGTCAGTTATGAGTCTTTTGGAATATCAGCCTCTTCAAGGGCTCAGATGAGGCACCCTGGTGTCTGACTGTTTCCTGTACTTCTTCAGGTGCCCATGGCAACAACCTCATTGCTGTTCTAGCCAAGTACATCTACCACAAGCATGACCCTGCCTTGCCACGGCTTGCCATCCAACTGCTGAAACGCCTGGCTACGGTAGGATCCCCTTATCTCACTGGGCCCCAGGACAAGGAATCTTGGCTTTAGATCTGTCTTGCTCTCTTGCAAGAGAGGCAGATGGTTAACTTGGACTTGAAGGAACATAGCCATCCACATACCACACACATACACAGACACACACACAGATGCGTTTATGTGGTGGTATTTTCCTGATTTCAGGAGCCATCTTTGCTGATCATAAAATATTTAATGTTATAGCAAACAGCATAGAAAGTGAAGTTCCCAGTCAATAATGGTGGTGCATGCCTGTAATCCCAGCTACTGTGGAGGTTGAGGCAGGAGCATTAGAAATTCAAGGTCAGCTTGGGCAACGTAGAAATACAAAAGGCTTTCAAAATACAAATGTGTTTCAAAATATAAAGGGCTAGAAAGGTAGTTCATTGCTTCTTAGGTTCAATCCCCAGTACCACCAAAAAAAAAGAAATGGGAGGAAGGGAGGGACTTAAAAGTGCTTGTAAGCACCTTATTTCAAGAATTGCTGGGCTGAGGATATAGCAGGCACAGCGCCTACCTTGGAAGCACAAGGTCCTGAGTTTGAGTCCTAGTACCAAAAAAAAATAATTGCTGTGGGCAGGTCAGGTTGGCTTTGCTATTAGAGCTTTTTTTTTTTTTCTTATCTATATGTATTAGAGAAAATGTGGTTTTGTCTGTTCTTTTTTTGTTTTGTTTTGTTTTTTGAGACAGGCTCTTGTATTGTAGGCTGGTCTTAACTCACTTAAGTAACTTAGGCTAGCCTTGAACTTAGCGGCGGTCCCCCTGCCTCAGCCTCCCAAGTGTGCCACCATACCCAGCACTGCATCTGTTCCTTACCAAACTAGAATTCTGTCCATGCTGAGGAGTGACTAGTGTGCTACGGTTTATACTCCTAATTCCGAGCCTTACAGCCTTACACAGTGGCTTTGCCAGTTTTTCAGTCTTTGTCAATTTAATAGGCAAGACATTTTTTACACTTTCTATAGTCAAGAGAGGACTTGACCATCATTTTATGTTTACTGAGTCTCCTGTAAGTTTCGGGCTCACCCCAAACTTGGATGGCCAGTATTTCTCTTCTTGTCATTTTCTGGAGATGCCCAGTGCCCTTCCTGGAAAGCTGGCACACGGACACACAGAGCACTGAGCGTGTGTCTCGCTTTCACGCAGGTGGCCCCCATGTCAGTGTACGCATGCCTGGGCAGCGATGCGGCCGCCATTCGTGATGCTTTCCTGACCCGCCTGCAGAGCAAGATTGAGGACATGCGTATCAAAGTTATGATTCTGGAGTTCCTCACAGTCGCAGTAGAGACCCAGCCGGGTCTCATTGAGCTCTTTCTGAATCTGGAGGTGAAGGATGGCAGTGATGGCGCCAAGGTGAGCCTGCACTCGGAGGAGCTGAGTGCGGTTCCGAGTGGCTATGAACTCAACTCTGACCCGGTCCCTCTTGCAGGAGTTCAGCCTTGGGGAGTGGAGCTGTCTCCACGCCGTGCTGGAGCTGATTGAGTCCCAGGAGCCGGATCGGTACTGGTGCCCGCCCCTGCTGCATCGCGCAGCCATTGCTTTTCTGCATGCTCTGTGGCAAGATCGGCGAGACAGTGCCATGCTGGTCCTCAGAACCAAGTAAGCCTGCCCCCAAGAGTCGTACCATCCTTGTCTTAAAGCAGAAGTAGCAGGAGTTCCTGCCACAAAGGCTTGTGACTTGTCTACTGGGAACGTGCATGAGAAGTGCTGTGTGCACGACTCTGTTCGGGGGTCTCGGGCTTGTTAATGCTGTACTGCCACAGGCACGTGTCATCGGTAAGGTTCAGTTCCTTTTGGGTTTCTGCCTTCTCTTAATCCCTCAAAGCCCACTGTTATTTTTTTCTTTTCTTTTCTTTTTGGTCTTTTTGAGACAGGGTCTCCATATACAGTTCAGGCTGGCCTTGAGCTCACTTTGTAGCCCAGGCTGGTCCTGAACTGCTGTGAGGCCAGGCCAGCATAAACTACATAGTGAGACCCTATCTCAAAAAAAAAAAGTTACGGAGAGAGGAGAAAAGGATTTTGGGAGAGCAAAAATATAATTGCCAACCTGTGTTCTCATTCTAGACCCAAGTTTTGGGAGAATTTAACCAGTCCACTGTTTGGAACCCTGTCTCCTCCCTCAGAGACATCCGAGGTGAGCTGCCTGGAGGACAGGACTGGCTGCAAGTCCCTCGGAGGACAGGCTGGGGTGTGAGGTGGAGGTGGAGAAAATGATACCTTGCCTGGTTAGGCCACAGAGCAGACTCTTCACCACTCAGCTCCCGCTCTGACATCTGGCTTTGGGAGGAAAGGGCTTGCCCTGCTCTGGGAGGATGGCTCTGCTCTCCTCCACTGCCTTGCGGACGTTGTGGACCTGATGCTTCTGCTCTTGCTCACCTGTGCCCCTTCACTTTCTGTGGAAAGTGTTGGCCGCTGCTGTCGGCATGGGGGACATGGGGAGGAGGTTCCCCGAGTGACCCGTGTGTGCTCTCCTCCCGCCTCCTCAGCCCAGCATCCTGGAGACCTGCGCCCTCATCATGAAGATCATTTGCCTGGAGATATACTATGTAGTTAAGTGAGTCCTTGGCCCTGTGGAGATTCGAACTAACATTCAGGGGAGGGAGGTGCAGCCCACCACAGGGTGCTGGCTCAGGAGCCAGCACAGAGGAGAGAGCTAGTTTGGAATCACTGTGGAGGCCAGAGAGCTGTGTCCCTGACCAGACCATTGCCAGCATCCACAGTTGTCAGAAAGAGTTGCTGGGAAGCTAACTCCTTGTGAACAGGACTTTATGGAGGAAGTGTCCTGGGAGGGCCTCAGCCTAACTCATTATGTTGAGCGAGCAGTCTGAGCCCATACTGCGAAGGTGACCTGGAGCCGCCTGTCCTAAGCCCATGTGAGGTGGTTTTCTCTGCCTCAGCGAGGGTCTGTGCCCATCACTTCCCCCGGCTTGCAGAACCTAACTGTGGGGTTGTGTTTTCTTGACACCGTAGGGGTTCGTTAGATCAGTCATTAAAAGACACACTTAAGAAATTTTCCGGCGAGAAGCGCTTCGCCTACTGGTCGGGGTACGTCAAGTCCCTGGCAGTGCACATGGCAGAGACAGAGGGCAGCAGCTGCACGTCCCTGGCAGAGTATCAGATGCTCGTTTCCGCCTGGAGGATGCTTCTCATCATTGCCAACAGCCACGTAAGAGCCGCCTTGGTGAATTTTCGTTGGGTATTGGCAGTGATGTGTTGAGACGCTGGTGGGCACCCCCTGTGCAGGTGATGAGATTGGGATTCACAAGCGGTGGTTGAGAGTGATGGAGAGAAGTAATTCAGACCCTTTAGTCAGGCCGCGGGGCGTGTGTCTGTGATCCTGCTCCTCAGAAGGCTGAGGTGAGAGGATCACAAGCTTGAGGCCGCCCTGGACCACTTTGTGAGATCCTGTCTCAAAGTGAAACATGTAGAGGCCTGGGAATGGAGTCGGGTGGTGGAGTGCTTGCCCAGCCTATACCTATACCTGGCCCAGGTTCGCTCCCCAGTACCGAAGGAGAAAATCGCCTCAGACGTTTCTGCAGGCCTCCCGTGGCTCCTTTGGGCCTGTCCTGCTCTGTGCTGCCCGCTCCTTGTGTGCCTGGTCTGCACATGTGTCATCACCCCATGTTGTGTGCCTGGGGATGCTGTGTGAGTGAGCTGAGACTCCGCAGGGAGCAGACGCAGCTGCAAGAGCAGCAGCGCCCCTGGCTAGAGCTAGAACTACCTTTTCCAGTGTGGAGCAAGAGCTCCAGCCAGCGTCTGCCCTTTTTGCCCAGGGCTGACATCTGGGAAGAGTTTGCAGCAAGCTTGGCGTCCTCTGTGCCGAAAGCATGTGGTGTTGTGCCGCTCTTCCCTAAGGAATTCAGGTCCATAGCTCGACTTCATTACTAGCGCGAGCTTGGTGCCTCCTGGCCCAGGCGTCTTACTCTCTGCGACTGTTCCCAGCGAGACTGCTCCGTGTTCCAGGAGCTCTGAGACTCCAGATGCCCCACAAGGCTGGGCTACCGTTGGGAGCGATGGGTTCCCAGGTGTAATGTCTGTGCCACCTGCCTGTTAGGCCCTCACCAGGCAGCAGTTCAGAATGGTCACTGAAAATCCTGCCATTCTTGGTCCCTCTAGGATATTGCTCACTCACTCACTCACTCACTCACTCACTCACTCATTCATTCAGTGGTTGATGGGCAAGTGCTTGCTGTGGCTTGGCCTCATCTGTAGAGCAGTAAGGCACATAATCGCTCTGATCTCATGGAGAGCGAACCATGAGGGAAGCAAAATCAAAACAAGTTCCCAGATGGAAAGCAGAGCTTCAGATTGTGGTACTTTGCTGTGAGGGAAATGGTCTTGCTCCTGTGGGGGTGAACAGGTGAGACAGGAGAAGTCGGACTCTGTCTGAGCAGGCTGCTGCAGCCGGGCAGTGTGCAGAGGAACCTTCCTGCTGAAGACTTGTGGGGGAAGGGCGTCTAGGCAGATGGGCCTGCGAGTGCCAAGCCCAGCATGGAAAGGGGCGAGTAGCTTCAGCGGGGACTTGGAAGGACAGTTCCGGACAGCAGGCAAACCTGGAAACCAGGGGGATCCCCAAGCCCTGTTCTGGTCATGGAGACAGTGGCTTATCAGTGACTGGCAAAGGACCCCACAATTCTTGGCTTCAGCAGCCTAGAGATTCTCCACTGAAGCTTTCTTGTTCCTACATAGGCAGACATCATTCACTTGAGCGATTCTTCCGTGCGGCGCCAGCTCTTCCTGGACGTGCTTGATGGGACCAAAGCATTAGTAAGTGTGTGCAGGAGCGTCCTTTCTTCCCCAGGTCGCTTACATCCTGAGGCTGCACAGGTCACATGCAAGGCTGTGGGTTGGCCTGAGGGGGCTGAGGCTGCAGGGTGTCAGCTGAAGCCTGCTACCTCCTTGGTCCTCTCGCCCCTCCTTGCCTCCCTATGCGCTCTCTGTGGGGCAGGAAGGCACAAGGCCAGGTGGCCCCCTGTGGACGGAGGCTGCATGCTCACAGGAAGCTGCCTCACTGCCCTCCGCTGCTGTCTCCCCAGCTCCTTGTTCCAGCTTCGGTGAACTGCCTCCGCCTGGGCTCCATGATGTGCACTCTGCTGCTCATCCTCCTCCGCCAGTGGAAGGGGTGAGTGTGGCCCAGGGCCCAGCCTCTGCCCCCGGCACTCGCACTCTTCCTTCGGGACGTGGGTAGGAATGGAAGTGGGTAACCTAGCAAAGCACAGGAGCTGAGGCCGCCTGCCTGCACCATCCTGTGATGGGCTGGGGCAGCGTGCGGCCCCTGGGTGCACCGTTCCCCATTCATTTAGAGAGTTAGGAGCGGTGGATGAGATCCTCAGGCCTTTGACGGAGATCCTGGAGGGGGTGCTACAGGCAGACCAGCAGCTCATGGAGAAGACCAAGGCCAAGGTGTTCTCAGCATTCATTATGGTGTTGCAGATGAAGGATATTCGAGGTGAGGGGCCAGCCTGGACAGGTCTCCGCCTAGCTCTCTGTGGGGTGTGTGTTTTTCCTGTGACTTGAGTTTTCAGTTTTGATTGGTTGATTGGTTGGTTGGTTGGTTAGTTGGTTTTTTGGCACAGGGTCTCCCTATGCAGTTCAGGCTGGCCTTGAACTCACTGTGTAGCCCAAACTGGCCTCGCACTCACAATGATCCTCCTGCCTCAGCCTTCTGAGTGCTGGCATTACAGGCATGCGCCACCATGCCCAGCATCAGTCTTGGCCAAAGAACCCCTCTGTCCTGCCCTCCTCTGGGACAACACTCTCCCTCTAACACCTGCTACATTTCCTGCTCCTGTCTGGGAAAGAAACCGTGGTCTGCAGTGAGAGTTGCCCACTGAGTGTCCCTTCCACATCCTCTCTACAGTGAGTGATATCCCCCAGTACTCTCAGCTCGTGCTGAATGTCTGCGAGACCCTCCAAGAAGAGGTGATTGCGCTCTTTGACCAGACCCGCCACAGTCTGGCATTAGGCAGTGCCACGGAGGATAAGGACAGCATGGAGACTGACGACTCCTCTCGGCTCCGGCACAAGGACCAGCGTGACGGGGTGAGGGGGCGCCCAAGCAGGCCGCTCATCATGGTCTGTGACTGACGTGGGGAACAGCGGAAGTGTCATGCCAGCGAGAGAAAGGACCCATTTATGCTCTGGAAGGGTCCCTGGAGGCTGCATGGAACAGTGTTTGCAGTGTGCCTTGCCATGCGTTCATCCATTACAACCAGCACCTTCACAGATGAAGCAGAACGTGACGCACGGGCAGCGTCAGCCCACTTCGTGTGCTGAGAGGGTGGCTGCTGTTAGTGGGAAGCTGTCGTCACGTTTGTGCTGGGCGTGAACCCGTCTTTCCTTACTGTGGGTCGTGGTGACTGCTGGTCAGGGGAGCTAAGGGTGGAGAGCAGTGTGGGAGCGGTGAGTGCAGTGGTGCAGCGAGAGCTGCAGACACCACTGCAGACCTGGGTGGCCTCGAGGTGGGCAGTGGCACCAGCAAGTCTGGTGGCGGTGCTGGGGCTAGGAGGGAAGAGGTAGGGGCTGCGGTGCCAGTGTTGGGGGTGCTTATGTGAGCAGGCGGACTCGGTGTTCGCTAAAGGGGAGACAGGAGAGCTGTGACAGTCACGGGCTTTACTCCGCTCCTCCTCTGCCCGGGGTGCTTCCTTCTAACCCATGTGTGCCCTTGGGCTCCAGCAGGTGTGTGTCCTGGGCTTGCACCTGGCCAAGGAGCTGTGTGAGGTGGATGAGGACGGGGACTCATGGCTGCAGGTGACCCGCAGGCTCCCCATCCTGCCCACCCTGTTCACCACCCTGGAGGTGAGCCTGCGCATGAAGCAGAACCTGCACTTCACCGAGGCCGCGCTGCACCTGCTTCTCACCCTGGCGCGCACCCAGCAGGTAGGAGGCCAGCCAGGGGCAGGGGCGCCCCAGGCTTGAGCCGGTGGGCTCTGGTGCTCAAAGCAGGAGTGCCAGCCATGGGGACAGGCTCCATTTCTTCCTGTGTCCTGCCCCAGGGAGCCACAGCAGTAGCCGGTGCTGGCATCACCCAGAGCATCTGTCTGCCCCTCCTGAGTGTGTACCAGCTCAGCCCCAATGGCACCGGGCAGGTGAGTGCCAGTGCTTGCCAGCTGCAGGCCCAGCTGGGAAACCCCGCCCCACCTCACTGCACTGTGTGCCTGTGCTCACTGTCCTGTCCTCCGTGGCTGTGCAGCGCACTGAGAGCGCGGACTCCTCCCCAGCCTCCAGCTGTCTGCCCTGGAAGTGGCACACCAAAGTGTGTGCCTAGTGTGCATAAGACCCTGGGATCCGTCCTGAGCACCCACGCCCTCCAAAAAAGCGCCACCTGGTTCCGTACACCAGCTTTGGAGATGGGATGGACTTTTCCTGTTACAGGTGTTAGAGGGACCACACCAGACCGTAAACAGGTCACTCAGGGCCAGCGCAGGTGACCTCACTTCCACCCTAAGGCATTATGCATGTGTGATTTCTTCATCTCTGTCCTCCAGCCTTGGACCCAGAGCAGGGAAGATGGTGGTGTGAGAGCTTGGTGGGGCTCCACATACCCTTGTTCCCTCTTTGTCACAGTTGTCTGCTCACTGCAGAAGAATCCAAGATTATGTCAGATTTGCCATCTATGCTGGCACACCCAGTAGAAGGGGAACACAAGCGCCCAGGCAGAGCAGGGCCAAGCTGAGTTAGTGGAGACCCAAATCCAGGATCATGTCCCTCTGCCTGGTCCCCTCTCCACAGCTGCTGACCACGCCCCTTCTAGGAGTTTGTCCTCCCACAGCAGCCTGGCTGCCCAGAAGCCCTGCTCTCCCGTCCTCTGGGTGCCAGTGGCACCAGGACCGGAGCTCATCTGCTGTTTGTCATAGACACCCGGCACCTCCCGGAAGGCCCTGGATGCCCCCTCCTGGCCCGGGGTCTACCGCCTGTCCATGTCCTTGATGGAGCGGCTACTGAAGACTCTGCGCTACAACTTCCTGACTGAGGCCCTGGACTTCGTTGGTGTCCACCAGGAGCGGACCTTGCAGGTAAGGACTGCCTGCCTCATGGGGCAGGGCCTGAGGCCACTCAGGGCAGAGGGTCCACGGGTGAGGGTGCTGAGCCCCTCGTCTCAGAGGTGCTCTGAGGAACTGGTGCGTGTGTGCATGCTTGGCCGCCACCGCCATCCCCGCCACTGCTGTCCTGTCACCTCTGCACAGGCCCAGGACCTCACCTTGCACAGGTGGGCAGGTGTGGTCTGCCACGTCCCTAAGCTGTCCTGCCCTTCCCTGCTGCCCCATCCTCACAGTGTCTCAATGCGGTGAGGACGGTACAGAGCCTGGCTTGCCTGGAGGAGGCTGATCACACCGTGGGCTTCATCCTACAGCTCTCCCAGTTCCGCAAGGAGTGGCACTTCCACCTGCCTCAGCTTATGAGCGACATCCAGGTGGGGCCTCAGGCATTGTCTGGGGGTGGGGGGGGAAGCTGCTTCCCAGACTGGCTTTGGGGAATCAGCACCGTGGTGAGCTGCAGCCTATTCCTGAACACCGGCCTTTTGCTATGGGCCCAGTGTTTGGGTCAGGTTGCTCTGCTTGACGTTTTACTCCCACAGTGAAGGGCAGTCCAGTGGGCCAAGAGCTTGGCTTCAGAGCCCTCAGCAACAGGCCTGAGCTGGGAGCCAGCCAGAGGGGTGGCCAAGGCAGAGAGTGCAGGCTCTGGAGACAGGCAGGCTGCTGGCGTGTGCTGCTGTGTGACTCTGTCCCTAAGCCTTTACCCTTCCGTAACTGGGCCGGCAGTCCCCTCGCCTTCACTTTAGGCTTTATGACTGTCGCTAGGTCCTAGGGAAATGGCCCAGGGCCCAGCCAACCTGTGCAGCAGCTATAAGATGTCAAGCTCGAGCGTCAGTGGGTGGAAGGAGGGTGACACTGGGGACAGAAACATGGGGGTCATGGGGAGACCTGTTTGGTTGCCCCAGGAACATCCCCATGGCTCCCCTGTGTGTCGCAGGTGAACCTGGGCTACCTGTGCCAGGCCTGCACCTCCCTCCTGCACAGTCGCAAGATGCTTCAGCACTACCTGCAGGTACCGGCCCCGCCCTGGGACTGCCCAGAAAGAAAGGCTGACTGGGGCTCCTTGGGCTCCCACTTCATTTCCTGGCTCTCCCCAGAACAAAAACGGGGATGGCCTTCCCTCGGCTGTCCCCCCACGGGTTCAGCGGCCACCCGCCGCCACCACTGCAGCTCCTGCGGCCCCCTCCTCCAAGCAGCCCAGCGCTGACACAGAGTCCGCTGAGCAGCGCGCCTTGCACACGGTCCAGCGTGGCCTCCTGAAGATCCTCAGCAGGACGCTGGCAGCCCTGCGTCACTTCACCCCAGACGTCTGTCAGATCCTCCTGGATCAGGTAGTGGCCCACGCACCGCCAGGGCCCCTGTAGCTGGCCCCATCTGCTGCACGGAGTGGGCTCGTTGCAGGGTCTCCAAGTGCTCGTTCCTTGCCTTGCAGTCCCTGGATCTTGCTGAATACAACTTCCTGTTTGCCTTGAGCTTTACCACTCCCACCTTTGACTCTGAAGTGGCCCCCTCTTTTGGGACCCTCTTGGCCACTGTGAATGTGGTCCTCAACATGCTTGGAGAGGTGAGTTGGGTGCTGTGTTTCCTCAGGCCGCGACTCCCAGTGACCCCAGCACACTTCCCAGCCTCCCCATCCTGTCCTGTCCGTCCAGTGAGTGTGGGCAGGGACTCTTGAGTGCAGAGGCTGCGAGGCCACTGGTGAGACCTGCCTGGCACAAGGGCTGCTGGGCAGGAAGTGCTCAGTGGCTGAGAGCTGCTGCTCTTGTTTTCACTTCTCTCCTTCCAGCTGGACAAGAAAAAGGAGCCGCTTCCCCAGGCTATGGGGCTCAGCACCCAGGCAGAAGGAACCAGAACGCTTAAGTAAGACCGTGTGGGACCTCGTAAGGCCCAGGCAGTCCTCTTTTGCTGGCTGGGTGGCTCACCTGATCTGCCAGCTCTGAACGGTGCCAACCCTGCCCTTCCTCCAGGTCCCTCCTGATGTTCACCATGGAAAACTGCTTCTACCTGCTCATCTCCCAGGCCATGCGATACCTTAGGGACCCGGCTGTGCACCCCCGGGACAAACAGCGGATGAAGCAAGAGCTCAGCTCTGAGCTGGTATGGATGGGCAGAGAGGACTCTTAGAGGGCTGGGTTGGCAAGAAAAGAGCCCCACAGGTCCTGCCTTGGGGTGGGGACAGCGGCACAGAGGTGCTGGGCCTTAGCAAGCCACCTCTCTTCCTGTAGAGCACACTGCTATCCAGCCTATCCCGCTACTTCCGGCGCGGAACCCCCAGCTCCCCTGCTGCTGGTGTCCTGCCCTCGCCCCAGAGTAAGGCCACCGCTCTCCCCAAAGCCAGCCCCGAGAGCCAGGAGCCTCTGGTCCAGCTGGTGCAGGCCTTCGTCCGCCACGTGCAGAGATAGGGTGCCTGCCACCGCCTGCCCCAGATGGGGTGCACTGCTCGTCACCCTCCCAGGTCGCCACCACTCCAGCCACCCACTGCTGTTATTTTTGTACTAGGTCAAGAGGTCCACAGCAGAGGCGGGGAGCGGGGCCCCAGGCCGCTCCTCTGCTCGAGCATTTCCGCTGCACGGCCAGCCAGGGGGGCCACAGCCAGGGGCTGTGTGCACGGGGTTCAGGTGTTTCTGGGATCTCTTGCAGTTTTTCGGTAATACTGTGGTCTATTTATACAAATATTAAAATACTGTTTATACACAACTGAGTGGCATGTGCCTTCAGAGCCTGGGAAGACACCAGCTTTCTGCTGCAGACGGGCAAGTTTGGCCTGGGCCCAACCCACCAGCGCCCCTGCATCCATCAGTGCCTGGGGAGCAGGCAGTGCGCTCGCTGTCAGATGTACCCTCCCTGTTTGTCCAGCTGGCCGTGCCTGGCACTGGGCATAGCCATCCTGGACCTCTCTTCCTTGTATTTATAGCTCTGCCCCACAGGGAGGCTGGCCTGGCCAAAGTCCCAGCTTAGCCACCTGCCAACTGTGGTACCTTGAGGTACAAGGTGACACCTCCCCTCTTTCCCTCCTGTAAGGTAGGGACCCTGTTAGGGTAGGGGTCCAGGCCTTAAACTCCCAACTGGGCTCCCCCCTATGTAGGGAAGTCATTCTTCAGGAGAATTTACTGTGTGCTCCCCACTGGGGACCATGCTGCCATGGAAGACCATGCCTGTTGCTGGAACTTTCCCTGCCTTCCCTTCTGCTCCAGGGCGCCCCATGCCTGTGCCACCCGTACCCTGCCACTGCTATGTGCCTGTCCCCACTTCAGTGCCTACTGTGCCATCCGAGACTGACAGGAGCCCATGCAAAGCACACAAAGGAGGGTTTATTTGCTGTTGGCCAGAGCAAGCAGACAGGCAGAAGTAAAAAGAGCAGTTAAAAAGTGAGTGTAGAGAAGGCTGCAGCCACGCGCGACTCAAACTGGGAGCTGCTGAGTGGGAGGGGATGGGTAGCACCAGGCAGGCGCTGCTCCTGGGCCAACCCATCTCCTGCCAGGCTGGCCTCTCCTGGGCAGCACCCAGCCCTCAGCTGCCAGGGTCCTGCCTGCTTTGCTGCTGCCCCTCAGCCTTTGGCAGCTAAGACAGGTGCTCTCTTGCCAAGGGTTCCAGCACTGCATCCCTCCCACCCCAGGGGGCCGGGGGTGCTGGTGTGCAGGGGTGCAGCAGGCCAGGCTCCAAACCACAGGTCAGAAGCGGGACAGGTGGAGGGACCAGGCCAGGCCCGGGGCCTGTCGGGCTCCCTCCCTGCAGAAGGACGGGGGCACAGGCGGAATGGGGCTGGTCTCCCCGCCGTGGGCATCTTCCAGAGACAAGTGGCAGGGTTCTGGGGGCCTGCTCAGCTGAGCAGTTCCAAGTAGGTGACAGGCACCTTCCCCTTCTTGTTGCCTCTCTCGCCAATGAGCCAGTCGGGGTCCATGCCAGGCAGGCTGTAGACTGTGATGAGCTGCAGAGAGGGTGGCAAGGGGAGCTGGCCATGGCAGAACAGACCCCGGAGTAGGTGGGGTCGCAGCCGCCATCTCCCTGACTAGGCACCCAGACCCCAGGGGCGGGAGTTCATCTCCTGGCCCTGCTGGGCAGGTCTGGCTGCTTCCTCGGAGCTGCTCTCTCCGCTGGCCTAGTCAGATGCCAGGGCCACCAGTCTCCAGTCTGGCGATGCCTACCCCAGCCCTGGCCCACGCCCTGCTGGCACCAGGCCCACCTCGTCAGCCAGCAGGGCCAGCTCGCTGCTGTCAGCTGCCTCGTAGTCGTAGAGCACCCGGGCTTTTCGGGTCCCGCTAGCCGGGGGTGCGACTTCCTCCAGGCAGAGCGCAGCCTCTCCGGAAGTGGCCAAGCCGGCCACTGTGGGTACCACGGGCATGGTGGCTGCGGCAGTGGTGGGTGAGGTGGTGCTCAGGGGTGGGGAGGCGGGCTCCGTGGTACCCACAAACGTGCCGGGGAATCTGAAGGCAAGGGGGTGTCTAAGCCACTGCACCCCGAGGGAGGGAGCCCCATGCCACCCGCAAGGGCCCTCCCAGCTAGGGCAGCCCCTGCCCACTACTTACATGGCACCCTGGGAGCTGGCAGCACAAGGAAAAGCAAAGCAAGCGGGGGTGAGATGGTCCCGCCCTGTCCTTGCCATCCTCCCCCAAGTATTCTGGGGACTCGGAGGTCCCCAAGGGCAGCCATCATTTCTGGGAGGTCCAGGCAGACCTCAGGCAGAGGCTCTCACCTGGCCCTGTGTTGTGGGCCTTCTGGGCTCAGGGAAGGGGCTAGGCTACAGGTACTGATGGGGACCTGGGGGACTCGAGACCCGGCCATACCTGCCCAGCTGCTTCTGCAGGTCCAGCATGTGGCGGTAGCACTGTGCATAGTAGGTCGTCTGCGACTTGACGAACTCATGGAGGCAGCGGAGGTGATTCACCTGGGGAGGAGGATGGCGCTGCCCTCCAGCCTCGAGCCCAGGTGGGCTGTGTGCCTTGGCAGACCCTCCCAGGACTGCAGCCCAGCTCCCGCCCCTGGATGCCACGTAGTGGTGGCAAGGCTGGACTCACGTGAGTGCTGCTGATGCCCTCCAGCAGCAGCCGGGTCACTTCGGCCTGCCGGTCGAACTCCGTCTGGGCCACACGGAGCTCCTGCTCGGCCTGGCAGGGCGTGCAGGGCGTGCAGGGCGTGAGTGCTAAGCAGCACACAGACGCCACCTCCCCTGGGGCCTCAACTAACCCTGAAGCTGGAGCCCATCTGAAAGACTCCCACACCCCTCCGGAAAAGCCTCAGGCAGAGGCCTTCCCAGGGCCCAGCTACGCCCCAGACACTGGACCCCACACCTCCCACAGGGGAGACTCCCACACCACCGGAGCCGGGGCACAGGCCCAGCTGGAAGCATCCCGCCCACGCCCCTCTACCTCCCAGCCCCTGGCTCCAGGGCCCAACTCACCTTGTCCACCTCATCATTCCAAAGCTGCGGGGATCACAACAGCGCCAGTCAGCGGGACAGGCGGCAGCCAGGCCCAGCTCCAGGACCCAACCCCGGTCCCTCTGCCCCCACCCGGCCACACCAGGAGCGGAGGGCACGGAGTGACAATCACAGCCCATCTGACATGCCACATGCAGGGAAGGGACAGCCAGCCGGGAAGTCCTGCTGTGCTCTCCTACAGCGCCAGCCCCCCACTCCGAGTGAGGCCTCCGGGCGACAGCCCATGTGTCCCACCCCGGACTCTTGGCTAAGGCTGGAGGGCTGGGAGGCAGGACGTGTGACCCTGGGCCAGTCACTGAACCTTTCTGTCCTCCGGCAGAGAAAGGCAGCCTCGGGCCTGAGTCACACTGGGGCTCAGTGGCAAAAGAAAAAAACAGGGCGGCCTCCACCCTCCAGGCTGTTTCTCCTTCCACTCGGCCCGGGGCAGGGGGCAGGAAGTGTCATCCAGAGTCTAGAGAAGAAAGACCCCCCCTCCCCCCGCCGTGACTTAGACCCGGCTCTCCGGCCGCTGTGGGAACCTGACCTAGGACAGTGTCCCAGCCCGGAATGTGGAAGCAGGCCAGCCAGCACAGGCTCAGGCGGCACCACGCCAAGGCCCGGCACGGGACTGCGAGCACTCAGTGTGGCTGGCACCTCCAGGGACAACGATCAGCCGCGAGTGACTGCATGGATCACAGCAGCATGCTCAGGTCAGGGAGGCCGCAGGGTCAGCACAGAGGGCCCTGCCCATGGGGACATGGAAGGACGGTGAGGGTGGCGCGGCTGTGACAGGCATGACGGATGTGTGACTGGCCTTCCTCCCACACTCCACAGGGAAACTGGCTTGACCGAGCTGACCGGCAGACCCTGGGCAGAGCTCAGCCTTGGGCACCACTGTCCACCTCCCTGCAGGCTGCAGCCAGCTGTCCTTGGGACGAGCCTAACCTGGAGCCAGACCCTGGGCCTGGGCTCCCTGTCCTCCCTGGTCACTGAGCAGGTGTGCGAACGGGTGGCCACCACAACCTCCATGTGAGTCTGGGTCGGGGAAGGCAGGCCCAGGCCTCTGCCGCATCCTCAGGGGCCTCCCAGGGCAGCCAGGGCTGTGAGGGCAGCGGGCAGAGGGGCCGGGGCAGGGCCGTCTGCAGCTCCTGCGTGGGTGGCCTGCCACCGTGGTCAGTGTTCTGCAGGAGAAGCCAGCCTGGCTGTGGCGCGCAGTCCGGGCTTGGGGCCAGGCCTCACTCCCGGGAGCAGGCCCTGTGTCACCTGCTGGCTCCCAGTTCCTGCACGGTCAAGTCCAGCAGGGCTGAGGGGAGCTGGGGCGGGGTGGGGCGCGGGGCGCTTACCGCGGAGGCGCTGGCCGAGAGAATGTAATTACGAGGTCTAGTCTCCTGAAAGTCAGGCACCGTCTGGCGGGGAAGAGTTCATGGGGGAAACGGGTCATCCCGGGCCAGGGCCGGGGTCGAGGCCAGGAGGCTGCCCCACAAGTGCCAGTGGCCCCTGCCCGAGGGACAGGGGGACACAGACAGAAACACCACAGACCCCTGGTGCCTACTTCCAGCGCTGAGCCAGAGATGAGGAGACTGAGGGGCCGGGAACTCCGGTGACCGGGTGGATGTGCTGGGGACCCCACGAGGGCAGACGCGGCTGCCCTTCCTCTAAGTGAGCCACAGCGCCCCCAACACACACACACTCCAGGCTCCCAGTCAGGCCCACGGGCCCCCCACCACAGCCCCCCCCCTGAATCTCTGCACCCCGTGTCTGTGGCTCCTGTGTCGAGGGCCAGGCCCTCCCCCATGAGGGTGGACAGATGGATGCACGGATGGACAGTGACAGGCGTTCAGTGATTGCAAAGAGCTGCCTGCAGGCTCCAGCCCGAGTGCCTGGAGCATGGGGCTCGGCCCGCAGAGCGCAGCTGCTTGCAAACCGCCCAAGGACGCACCCTGGACCGGCGCGGACCAGAAGCAGCACAGCACGCGGGACAGGTATACTCACATCTCCCTCACACTGAGCCAAGTTACCCAAAGCAGGACGGAAAGGAACAGAAATAGAGAGTTAGTGATCCAGAGCGCAGTGCAGGCGGGAAGCTAGGACACATGGGAGGCCCGGCCAGTTTGTGTGGGTAAAGGGTGGCACGGGGGCCAGGGTCGCTGAGGGTGGGAACGCTGCTCCAGCTGACCCAAGCTGGACCACGGTGGGGGAGGGGTGGCTAGGAAAGGGTGCCCTGGCCTGGCCGATAGAGAAGTTTGTCTTGGCATGAGGCTGTCCTATTCTCAGTGACAGGGAGGGACTGCCCTGCCCAGGTGACTCAAGAGCTCACCCCAGTAGCCCCAGGCCCCTTGGCCACTGGTCTGGGGGAGCTGAGACTCTGCCATGGCTCTTGCCAGAGGCAGCAGAGGCCCAGCTGTGGCATCAGGGCTCCGTGCCACGCCGCCACCCAGGAAGAGGAAACCGAGGGTCACAGCAGCCAGGAGCCCATTCAGGTTCCCCTGGGTCAGGCTGGCCTTCCTTGGCTGAGCCCGGGAACTCACAGGTGGCAGTCCCCAGGCAGGCCAGGGGCTGGGAATCCCCTCCATGCCCTGCACCCTGAGCCCCTGGCATGCAATGGGGAGCTCGCCCACTCCTGGCCCAGCCTGGCCAGGGCAGCTCACGTGTGCCGCTGGCCTGGCCGAGGAGGGGTGCAGTGGCACAGGCCCTGCGCTGCGGACAGCCCCGAGCGGGCAGGCAGTGCACGTGCTCTGTCCACACCCTCGCAGGGGAGCCGCGCACAGCGCGCCCGGGCCAAGGTCAAGCAGCAGGGATGGCTAGTTAGAGGAGCCATGCCCGGGCAGAGCATCCAGGGAGGCAGCAAAGGCATGCGAGAAACCCCAGGTGGCTGTCTGGGGGGGCAGTAGGGTGCCCTGCACCCACTCTGGGAATGCCTGCCCTCGGGCCACCAGGGCTCCCTTGGAGGTACGGACACAGACGTGACCGCCAGCTCAGTCCTGCCCCAGCCAAGCCTTCCCAGCCAGGACAGGGGACAGAGGCCATGCCGAACACCAGGTCCCCCTGCGGCCCCCACTCCTCGGCTCCCTCCAGAGCCTGGGGGGCAAGGAGGCTGACGGGGACACCTACCGTGGCTTTGGCTTCTGCGGCCTTGGCCTTCTTCAGCCGCGCTTTGCAGGCGTCCAGGTCCAGACGCCGGTTCTGGAGGAGTCGCCTCTCCTTCTGCAGGGTGGGCAGTGGGGAGCAGTGAGGCCCTGGGTGGTCCAAGGGCTATGTAGTCAAGACAGGGAAACTGAGGCCCAGAAGCGAGAGGTTCCTCCAGGTCACCCAGTCTGCAGGAGCCACTTGTAGGTAGGAAAGCCCCAGGAGTCCCAGGTGCCCTGCATGGGCTGAGGGCCCCTCACCGAAATTGTCTTCCAATCCCCTTCCAGGAAGTTGCGCAGAGGCGTGAGGAAGCTGATGGAGGCTGTGTGGATGAAGTCCCTCTCCGCGGCTCCCAGGCGCTTCTCAGCTTCCGACACCTTGAGTAGCGTCTTCCCTGGGGAACAGGGCTGAGCGTGGGGAAGGGTCCCAGGCTGCCAGACCCCCAGGCAGTCAGGCCACTGGGGACTGGCAAATATATAGTGGGATCCCCTAAAGATAAAACCCTCTAGCCACTAGTGTGCACGAGGCCCTGGGTTCTATCTCAGAAAAATCAGGGTACTTCCAGAATGACAGAACAGAGCTGGACAGACGTTCTCCCCTAAAAAGACCATTAGCTACATCCAACTGCCAAAGCCATCCATCCCCAGACTGGAAACTAACCGAAGGTAGAAAACGTGTCGAGGCATGAATTTGAGGCACCCTACTGATCTTGGTAGGGACAATGCGGGTGACAGTGCAGCCTGGGGATGCTGTGCCGCTCAAGGTCTGCACGTCTGTGGCTCTACCAGGCTGGGGAGGAGACAAGGCCCAGGTCCACTGCAGGAGGGGATGGACTTGATCTGGGACAGAAACACAGAACAGGCCACAGGACACCACTGAAAACAGCAGCAAGCTCCATGGCACACAGCTAGGAGAAGCAACACAGCAGCCAGCCTGGGGCTGGAATACTCTTAGCACATGCCTGCCAGAAGGGGACATGGCCCACCTCGCCCCGCTACGGATGTTCAAGCGCAGGCTCTGACCACCTGCTGCTGGCTGACTGCGCATGTGCGCTGACTGCGGAGCACTTCATGGAAGCTCCACTTGAAAATGCGAATAAATTTTAAAAGGAGGGTGGGACAGAAACTTTAGTAGTAGCACCTGGCAGGAGACACAGATTCTATAAACAATTAGCTCAGACAAGTCTCTAAACAAACACGGGGCAATCCCAGCCTAAAGGCAGCGGGCTGAGGATACAGAGCTGCTGTGTGCCTCAGGGTCTGAGTACTTCTTGTGGCTCTGGACATCCCGGTTCCCCTTTGAAACTGAACTATATCCTGTCTGTGTTTTATTCTGTCATTACACCCCTGGCAGATTGGTGTCCTAGGCCAGGGCCCCAAGAGATCATTGTGAGTTCAAGGACAGCCTGGACTACACAGTGAGACCCTGACTCAAAAAAAAAAAAAAAAAAAAGAAAAGAAAAGAAATCTTCAAGTTCAATAGCAATGACATCAGATATAACCTGAATCCACAGGGAGCAATTAATTACAGTTAAACGTGAAAAATAATACCATTTTCTTCTATTCACTGATCTAAGATAACTACATGAAACAACAGTTATAAAACTTACTGGCTTTATAACACAGATGACAGTAACAGCACAACGAAAGGGAGAGAGAACGTAGTTGTACTGTAGCAGTTCCCATTTTTTACTAGAAGTTAACTAGCATGACTTAGAAGTAGACTGTGATAAGTTAAGATCCATACTGTAAAAAAAACCCATACTATAATCCTTAGAATAACCACTAAGAAAACTTTAAATGCTGAAGAAGACAGTAACAAAGTACACAAGGAAATCCAACCACATCAAGGACTGCATGAAATATAAATGGACTAGCACTCCCATCAAAAGGCAGCGCGGGGGCTGGGCATGGTGGTGCACGGCTGTAATCCCAGCACAAGGGAGGCACAAGCAGGATCTCAGTGAGTGAGGCCAGCTTGAACTACATAGCAGAATCCTGTCTCAAAAGCAAAACAACAACAAAAAAAAGGCAGTGTTTGTCTGAATGGATCTGTTTTTGTTTACGGGTGTGGTGGCACATGCCTGCAATTCCAGCACTGGTCGGCTGAAGGAGGAAGATCATCGTGAGTTTGAGGCCAACCTAGACTACATAGTGAACCCGTCTCAAATCCCCCAAATATTGTGCTAGGTGAAAGAAGCCAGATGCAAAAGAGGGCATATAATGATTATATTTACAGGAAATATTCAGGGAAAACAGATTTCTACAGACAAAAAGCACACTAGTGGTTGGCCGGAGGTGGGAACAGGGACTGACCATAAACAGGAACAAAGGACTAGGGGGGACATGTGGATAAGTGCTTTTAAAAAGGTGAAAGATTTATATGATCTGAAGAGAAACCATAGTACGATAAGTGTTTTTAAAATAGGATTGTAGAGATGTTTGTACATCTCCATAAACTTACTATAAACCACTGATTTATACATTTAGACCACGTACATTTTATAGCACATAAGTTACACTTCCAGCAAATGAAGAAATGAAGGGACTAAGACGGGTGGCTCTGGCCGCGCTACCATGGGCAGACCCCTGCAGCCCAACGCCAGGGGCTCCCACAGCACGGTCCATGAACACACCAGGCTGGGGCACGGCTGTGGGGGCACTTGCACCAGCTCCATCCCTAGCTCCACCAACCCCCACAGCTTTACACAAACCAAAACTGATGAGGGAGTAGGTTGCATTTTCTGCTCTACTGAGCAATGATGGAGATTTGTACAATGAAGAGTATTTTTTTGTTTTTTGAAACAGCGACTATCTATAGTTCAGGTTGGCCTTCAACTCACTATGTAGCCCAGGATGGTTTCAAACCTGTGGCAATCTTCCTGCCTCACCCTCCTGAGTGCTGGGATTACAGGCACATGCCATCATGCCCGGCTTTACAGTCAGAATGAATTCAGGTATCATTTGTGTATGTATATATTTGGGGGGGTTAGCAGGAATTGAACTCTGGACCTTGGCAAGCACTGTGCCACTGAGCTATATTCCTGGCCGTGTATAATTTTTTTAAAGAAAAGGAAAGCTGGGCATGGTGGCACATGCCTGTAATCCCAGCACTTGGGAGACTGAGGCAGAAGGACTGTTATGAGTTCAAGGCCAGCCTGAATGCGTAGTGAGACCCTGTCTCAAAAAGACCAGAAAAAGAATGGGAGGAATGAAGGAAGGGAATGACGAAGGAAGAAGGGAAGGAAGGAGAAAGAAAGGCAAGGGAAATTCAGGGCCAGCCCCAGTGCCCAGCCTGGCGTGCGGCCACTCACCATAAGGCGTGGTAGCGCCCAGCTCGCTGGCCGCCTCGGCCATGTACTGGGCCAGCAGCTCCCCGTTGGTGACCCTCGAGGGCACCTTCCTGTCCAGCTTCTCATACAGGAACTCCTCCACGCGGGCACCTGTGGGGAGACAGCAGCCAAAGCCACATTGCTCTCCAGGCCAAGCCCAGAAGTGCCCAGCCTGGTGACTCAAATAATCTCACCTAGGCCCACCTTCACCCTGAAAGGCTGGCCTGTTAACCCCTCCCCCCACAGGGGAGGTGGCAAAGGCTCAGAGACACAAGTGCCTGCTGGAGACCACACAGCCGGGGGGTGACGGGGCCAAAGTCAGGCTTTCCACTTCCCCCTGACAGACAGGGTTTACAGAACACAGCGCGTGTCTTAACTCCGTGCTTGGTCCCCAAGCCCTCGGGACATGCCAGTTAGCCACGGGGCAGAGTGACAAGTGGACAAGCAGTGGCCTTGGTCTCCACCTGCCCCAAGCTGTGGGGTCTGGGTCAGGCCTGCGTCTCCCCCCGGAGATCGCTTCCAGGCCAAACACTGGGCGCCCCACAGCCTGGCCGCGCCCCACCGCCCCACTCACTGGGGTTGGGCTGCAGCAGCACCTCCGTCTGCCGCAGGATGCGCTCCGTCCAGTTCTTGGTGCTGTCGGCGCGTGCCAGGAGGTTTTCGAAGTGGGCATCGAGCTCAGTCTTCTCGGCCTGCCCGAACTTCTCCTCAGTGAACTGTGGGAGGGGCGAGGAGCCGGGCCAGGTCAAGGACCTTCCTGCGGCTACCAAGGGCCAGCCCCTCTGGGGCTCCGCTGCCCTCTGAGAAAGCAGGGTACCCAAGTCTGGGGGGCTCAGGGCTTCTCAAAGTCCAGCAGCCGCCCCACCTTCCCCCCATGGCCCTCCCAGCAGCCAGGGACCTCTGGGGCCATTCGGGCCTGACAGGACAGGAGCAAGAGCACAGGGAACAGACGGGGCACAGAGCAAGGTCCAGGCTTATCAGGGGCTCCGTGGGCAGCTGGGAGCCCTAGGGGGGCCCGGCACAGAACCTTGGCTGCCCGCAGGCCGGCACCACTGCTCCAGGCCCTGAGCAGGAGCTTGGGGCGACAAGGGGTGTGGCAGAGTGGGCTCACCGCCTGGCCAGCCCATCAGAGTCAGCCACTGGGTACACTCAGCAACCACGAGGGCCACCTAGGAACATCCAGAAATGGGCCGAGGCCTGGTCCCTCCGATGTAGAAGGGTCCTGGGACAAACTGTTCTCATTCTTCAAACAGACCTTGGCCTGCCAGGGAACAGGGCTCGCCCAAGGTCACAGCCAAACAGCGAAAGGGTAAGCACCTTCAGGTGTTAGATACGGAAGGAGTGACGAGGATCCTGGCCAGCCCTGCGCTGGGGACATCGCACCCAGCCCCTCAGGGACTTCTGGAAGCAGAGGGCCACCTGTCCCATTTCAGGGATGTGGCCACTGAGGCAGAGCGAGGCCAGGGCCACTGGGGCTGGAGCCCTGCAGAGAGGCAGAGCCACTGGCAGTGATGAGTCATCGGAGGCCCCACGCCAGCCGCCACCAGGTTGCTCGAGCCATCAATTATGTAGCAGGCTGGGCTCTGGTTTCTCCCTGAGGCTCAGCTGGGCCTCAGCCTCCTTCTCTCCCTCACAGCCCCCAAACCGGGGCGGAAATGGGGGTCTCAGGCCACCTCTGCCTCGGGACCTGGCCCGATCCCACACTGCAGGTGTCCGAAAGTCACCTCTCCGCCCTCAGTTTCCCCCTGAAGTATGTGGCTAACCTACCTCACAGAATATTGGTCAGCACGCTCTATAAGCTCGATCAACTGGGGGTTTTTTTGTTGTTGTTTTTTTTGAGGCAGGATCTCTGCAGCTCAGGCTGGCCTTGAACTTGCTTATGTAACCTAGGTTGGCCTCGAACACAAAGGGATCCTCCTGCTTCAGCCTCCTGAGAGCTGGGATTACAAGTGTGTGGCACCACGCCTGGCTGATCAACGGTTTTTTTGCAGTGCTGGCCATGGAAGCCTGAGCCTTGCACATGCTGGCAAGCTCCCCCCACTGAACCCCTCTCACCCGGCTGGGTAAATGGTAGCAGGTGTCACCTGTGAAAGGCTGCCCATAGGTCCATCTCTGGCCCTCGAAAGCCACCCCAATGGCACCACAAGTCACACCAACACGCACCTCGGCCCTGGCCTCCGTACCCACTAGGCCGCCCCTCCGCACCCAATGATGCCCCTCAAGAGGACAGCAGCCTCTCCGGCTCTTCCTGTGCTACCTCTGCCACGTCCAGCAGCACAACGCCTGCAGTTCCCGCCAACAGTGCCTCGGCTGCCCGCTCCTACCCCTCGGCATCCTAGCCGTACATGCTTTGGGTTTTCCTGCCTCGCTGCCCTAAGCCCAGCTGCTCTGGCACGGGGAGAGCTCTGCCTGAAACCACTTCGCAAGCCCCTCCCTACTTTCCAGGCCCAACTGCAGGCCTCTGAAGGGGTCCGGTCCTGCCCTCTGGCAGCTCCCAGAAGAGCCAAGGCCTGCTCCCCCAGCGGAGTGGGCGAAGCCTTCACGCTGTCCCTGCTATGTGCCAGAGCTGGGAGCTTACCCAGGCCGTCCTGGTACCTGGCCCGGCAGCACCAACCCAGAGGAGGACCACACACCCGTACTAACGAACCCCTGGCCGGGCTTGGGGACACATGCCTGTGATCGCAGCACTGGAGAGGCTGTGGCAGGAGGATCACCACCAAGTTCAAGGCCAGCCTAGGCTACATAAGAGACCCTGCCTCAAAAAACCAAACAAACCAAACCAAACCAAACACTAAGAACTCCTCCCAGCTCTCCTGACTCACTGCTTCACTCCCGCCCCTAGGCAGGTCCCCTCCGGCCTCTCCTGCCGGGCCACATTCCAGGCCCCTATCCCCTCTGGCCGGCCACCTCCTATCTCCTGCCAAGGCTGCTGCCAGCGAGGCGGCAGCAGGGGGTGGGCGTGCAGAGCGGAGAAAGCCTCTATTTATAAGGCGCCCGGCTCCCTCCTCCGCCCCAGCCGGCTGGGCCCGGGTGCTGGCTGCCCTCCAGCAGGGACCCTGGGGCGGGTGCCCCCAGCCGGCAGAGCAAGGCCACAGCCTCAGGTCGGGTGGCAGGCCCCGGCGGCAGCAGGAAAGCGGTGGATCAGGTTCTCCTCAGCTGTGATGTGGGAGATAAGCAGTTGCCATACCAACGCGGAGGGCTCCCCACCGCCCAGCTGGACCGCGGGTCTGGGTCCCCTGCTCGCGGCCAGGCCTGGGGTTGGTCCCCAGGCTCTGGGCGCGGGAACCTCTCTCTCTGGGACAGCACCCTCAGGAGGACACTGCGCTTTCTAGCAAACACGGCCACATGCGCTTCTGAGAGGAGCTGGGGCCGGGCTCCTCCAGTCAACAGCAGGGCCGGTGCCCAGAGCCCCGCAGCCCTACACCTCCCTCCCAGAAGGCCAGACTGAGGCCGGGAGGGACGCCCTGGCCAAGGTCACACGTGGCACTGGCGCGGGGTCACCCACAGCAACACCCGCCAGGGGCCTGCCTGTGACGAGCACTGTGTGCGGAGTCCCACACCCTCACATCTCACCCCACTTCTCAGATGGGAAAACTGAGGCCCAGCAAGGCGCCGCCCCTCCAAGGTCACAGGAGAGGCATCACACAGAATCTGACTCGCGTCTCCGCGGTGGCACTAACCCCTCGGTCTCTCCTCCCTCACCCCCAATGGTGGACTTGTTCCAATCTCGGCCTTAGGGTCTGGGCAGCTTCCCAAGGAGGGCGCCCTCTCTCCCCGCTCCTGGGGACCGGAGGAAACAGGCCTCCCCAGAGGAGCCAGGAAATAACTCCTGGCTTCCGGCCGGCCCATCCAGGCGTGCCAAGGGGACCCAGGGAGCACAGACCACCTGCCCACGGCAGCGGTGGGGGGCGCCGGGGCTCGGGGCGCGGGCCCCGCGCCTGGA